ACGGTTTACCTACTTATCGTATTATAGGAAAGAGTAATATGACACAAATATTATTGAAAGCTCACATATAGACTTTTCCTCCATTCACATGGCACCTGTTTGCCAGCCGTTTTGTTATGCTGGCCAATTAGAAGAGAATATCTGGGTTTTGTTGAAAAGTTTTTTTCATATAATTTCTAGTAGATATATATGAAAATGGATCCCATAACTAAGCGATATATTCACCTAATTATATATATTGCCCCTCTGGGTATTTCATGTCAGCTAATATTTAGCAGGGTCTATATTAAAGAAAATCTAGGAGGCTCATATCAAGCAGCAGGCATTTTTCTTTAAAATATTTTTACAATATTGGCTTATGCGCTGTAAGGTATCTTAACTAGTAAAATACTACATAAGGTTGAACCTCAGATTAATTATTAATGTCTTTGGGTTCAACTACATGGATTTGAGGAGACATTTTTGCAGCATAGTGTTGTTTAGTATACATTGAGAATATCTACTTATAATAAGTATTTCGGGTCCAAAATTATTGATGACACATATGCAAGATTACAAAGTAATAAAAACAAACAATCAATTACACAAATTGAATAAAATATTGTATTTAAGTTTCACATGTGTTTCGGTCAGGAAAATATCCCATTGGTACACGGTCTGTTAAGGAACTAGTCAAGAATCGTTTAACTGTTATAACTTTGTCATAAAAACTGCGAGTTTTTAAAATGCTAAATTAAACTGAAGAAAGCTGTTTTAGGATCGTCATTAAATCATAAAAATGTTTGCAAATATGTTCAACTTTATTTCGCAATAATGCAGTTGGTTTGGAAAGTCGCGAATTAAATTCTGAGGCTGTTGATTTTCCTAATAAAGTAGACAATAATTCAATTAACCCGAATTAATTCACACAATATTTTATTTGAAAAGTCTGAAATTCTGTAGTCGGGATATTTTATAATTTGAAAATTGTTTTCTAAAGAGCACTATTCTGAAGTGCATTTGAAGCTTTATCTTTTCAACTCATTATCACAGTAATTTCTACAAGCCACATACAGTGTTGAACCATCAGTTCTTGCAAATCAGAGATAGTTTTACAGTTTATATTAGAGTGCAAAATGTGGAAAATTAATCTGTAATTAAATAGTTACACGCTGCATTACAATACTTTCTCTATCAAATGTCCTTGTATCATGATTGGTCGCTTTAAGAAGAAAATTGATGAAATCACTTTCAATACTTTAAAAAGTTAAACATTCTATTGGAAACTATATTGACCTACCAGTTACTTGAAGCATGGTTTAAAATTTTCTGTCATTCGTTTCCTAATCCTTTACATAAATATCCGGGTAAAGGCTGGGTAAGTACTAGGGGTGCTAAAAATGTAAAACTATTAAGTAAAATGTATTAACTAAATGGTTTAAGTAAAAAAGCTTAATTCTAATAAATTTGCATGAGAAACCAAATTAACAAAAACTGAATATTCCACAACAACAGCATTTTAACAATTAACTATATTTAAAGCATATACAAGCAAAATGCTCATTATTTAAGTGAAATGCTCAAAAATATTATATTACTATTATAATTTCCACCCAACAAATGTTTCAATCAAGTACTATGGAAATGCAAATACTATTAGGTACATATCTACTTAGTTTAATTTACAATATTAATATGAATAAGGATACCGGTACTGACTGACTTGGAGACTTAAATTTACAAAACTGTTAACATTTTTCGTACGCTAACTAAACTGACTAAAAATATACTTACAATCTTTGAAATAAAATTTATCTAACAATATCCGGCGGCTGATCACGCTGAACATAAAAAATTCACAACAGATGTTAACATTTTAAAGTCCCTTCCTCGAATTTCATCATATATACCCGTAAAGTTGTTTGGTACCTACTGGAACTGCAAGCAACCAACCTCGTTTAAGGGTCTTCTCTTTGAATTCAGTAGGTAGTCGAACTGCCTTACAGGGTTGTATTTCGAAAGATTACAACATTTTTTCAAGTGTGAAATTGAATCCAGGAGAACTGAATATTTGTCTATACGTGATTTGAACTAGCGACGTCTCTTTTACGCTATTTCTTTATATTTATACCTTTTTATTTAACTTCCTACTACTTGTGTGCATGTTTAACTTAATTATTAATGCCATTCAGTTCTTAATTTACAATGTTATTAGGAAACAATATTGTTTTTTGATTAACTAATTTTAATAAATTCTCAATTTTTGTACAGAACTTTTCACAAGAATTTATATCTCCAAGATAAACGTTTCATTTTAGCGATTTATATCAGTCTAAGTTTTTGGAAAGGAATATTTTGCATTATGTTGCATTCTTGAGACTCAAAAAATCACTAAATTACTCACAAACATATTTATAGTTTCAATTTTAGAACCAGAGTTGGACACTAAAAACTTTTCCTGTTTTTAATAAATCGGGTTAATTTTGAGGGCGAACAAGAGTACGTCCCTTTATTATGCTGGGCCATCCTCCCAAATATTTTAAATGTGATAGAAGAAAGGAGTTGAGCAATATTGATGATGTTAAGCAGCTTTGTATTACCTGCATTTAGATACTTTATTACTAGTTAATTGAATTTAATTCCAGTATAGTTTTCCTAAAAATTATAAAACTTGTTTTAATTTGCTCTCTTGACACAGCGCAAAAAAAGAATGCATCTATCATCATAACCCCCCATTCAATTCTCTATCCAACGATGTCAAAACGAGTTCTGTGGCTCGAATGGTTCTTGAGAAACTTCGAAAAAAGCAGCGTCATGTTCAAGTGGATTTTGCAACTCAAAAAAACCTCGCAAATCTAAAACTTCTTGAATTCAAGCCTTTTTTGAGAAAACTGCCAACATTTCCCCATCCATGGTTCACTTTCTAAAAAGGCCATTTATTT